TAGAGTTAGAAGTTACTGGAAGAGAAAAGATTTTAGAGCAAGATAGCAATTGTAGAGCAAGATAAGGCAGAAGACTTAATAGATTGCAAATTATATGAATCAGGAAAGCAAGATGAAGGAAACAAATTCCAAAGAACTGATGTTCGAGGAAAAATCTAGACGAATAAGAGTTTTTGGAGCACTTAGGAACAGTCACAGAAAAAGGATGAGACTTAATTAAAAGACGAGTAACACGAGAATGAATTTTAGTAGATGGCACAAGAGACACTAGTTCTTTAGGCAGTACCCATTATAGTTTTTGTAGAAAAGAGAAAGAGAAGCAACATTCAGACGATGTGATAATGGTTGGAGGTTGACTGCAAAAATAAGGCCAACTATCTTTACAATGCATTTTTGCACCTTTTAGAAGAGAAAGGGCATCTTTAGAAAATCCGCCCCAGATATGGCAACAGGATTCCATACAAGGCCAGACTTGATATTTATAGAGGTAACCATTGTGAGCCCCGTGCTGTAGCAGAAGTGAGATCCTTTTCAAGCTCAAATGCCCCCACCATGCAATCAGAGAGTGTTGGCTTCTTATTATGACAAGAATAAATGGTAGTATCATCAGCAAACAATGCAACCTTACATGTGAGAATATCTGGAAGATCGTAAATGTATATTAAAAAGAGCATAGGGCTAAGGATTGAACCTTGAGGAACCCCTGAGGTTACAGAATAAGAAGAAGAGTGCTGCCCATTGACAACTTTTATTCTGGAAAAGAAGGATTCAATAATCTTAAAAATGTTACTGTAATAAGAAAGTTTATGGAGAAGACCAGCATACCAAACTTTATCAAAAGCTTTAGAAAATGTTAAGATCAATGGCCTTAAATTCTCCACCTTTATCTAATGCACGATAAAACCTATCATTTATTATTATATTGTTATTACTGTTAGCAAATCCGCTATAGAACAAGATGTCCAAAATTCATATTGATGATCAGAAAGTAAGTTTTTAGATTCAAGATTAGAGATTAAGTGTTTGTTAATTAAAGATTCAAATACCTTGTTTATGATAGGAAGAAGACTAATGGGATGGTAGTTAGACAAATCAGAATTTGTTGTTGTTTAATATAACGTTATTTAATATAAGTATTTAACATTATGGTGAATGATAAAATAGATAAAAATTTTAGCACGTTGACTTGTACTAAAAAATTTAAACCCAAATCAGTCAATTTAATTACTTTTTATAATTTTTTTTTTTTTGTCAAAAAGATATATTCACCAATGGCATAGAAGTAAAATTTCCAACTTTCAACTTTTGTTTTGAATAATAAAGCTAGTTATTTATTCTACTTAATTTATTAGTTTAAAAAGATATAGAATTTTTTTAAATACTCAAAAATAAAACTTGATGTCAAATATTTAACATTTGTTTCTAGTTAATATTTAATTGCTTTAAAATAAATGAGCAACTATTTTTTTATTGTATCTGCTGGCGGGAGGCAAATATTTCCGCCTCCAATTTGGCGGCCGCAGCAAGTTGGGAGGCAGAAGCCATTGAAGGCAGTCTCCAAATGATTCTGCCTCCATGATTTTTTCTGGAGGGCCCTGATAAAAATTTACTGTAAAGGAGTTGGGCATATTAGTAGGTAAGCTGCTGCTTTTCGTGTCTCTTAATCACTGTGGTGCCGTCCTGAAGAGTTCTCTCATTAGGGGAAGGGGGTTGTATGTGGTTTTTGCCCACTAGAGACACATAGATAAAAAAAAGGTTTTCAATATTTGACATTTTCCAACTATACTTTAAAACTTGCCAACTGAAATGCTAAATGCACAAATGTGCTATACTCAAATGCATATATAACAGCTTGGATGGTGGGGGGAGAAATATTTCCACATTACCACACCCACCCACCCCCCATCTCCTGTTTGTGACAGCCCTGGTCTGCCACTCTAACAGAAATGAAAAGTAATTATTATTTTTGCTTTTATTAATTAACAGCTATTCTTAAAACTGTTGTCTGAAATGAACTTATTTCAATTAGTCTATTCCAGACAGCAATTGAGGAGTGGACTTGCAAAATCAGATAATTCACTTTTTTTAAAATAAAAAGATTTAGAAATGTTTTTTTGTAGTATTAATATTCCTACATCTCAACAAATAAAATTAAATTTAAAAGTCACTAGTTTAATAACATTTTACCTCCCTTAATTTATTTAGTCCGTGCAAAACCAGTTTAAAGAAAAATTATTGTCAATGCAAAACAAGACCAAAATATGAAAATTTAATCACCATTCTGTTTTAAAAACCTTTTTAAAAACTAGAGGAAGTTATTTAAGAAAAAAATCACGTACAAAAAAACTCGCTAAAATTAAGAAAGCCATATTTAAACAGTTTCAGTTGAGTTTTAACTTCATCAATCCTATAAAAGTATCAAACATTAAAATTTTCTATGGCAGAGCACTATTTTATTTTTAGCACTATTTGATTTTTAAAATTGTCACTAGTCAAGTTGACTTCATAAAGCTTTTTTGAAAATTTTTAGACGTTTTAAAACGTTAGAAATAAATTTCTGATCAAAATCAGATAAAAAAAATAATTGAAATGCAAAACCAGATAAAACGTATTTTTCAGATAAAACATATTTTTCAGATAAAACATATTTTTCAGATAAAACATTTTTTTCAGATAAAACATTTTTTTCAGATAAAACATGTTTCAGATAAAACATATTTTTCAGATAAAACATATTTTTTAGATAAAACATATTTTTCAGATAAAACATATTTTTCAGATAAACCAGATTTTTATTTTGTAATATAGAAAAGATCAATAAAGCATGATTTTCAAATTTTTGTCCAAAACATTCTTTTAATGATGTCTGTTGTTTAACTTTTCATTTTTTTAATTTTTAAGCTATTCGATTTACTGGAAAACATTTTTTGCCATTATCTCAGAATGAAAAAAAATGTTAATTATCTGGTTTTGCAAATCCACTCCTCAATTATTTCTTTATTAGTCTATTATCTAACAATTATTCTAGTCCTTTAAAGACATTGATTAGGTTTTTGGTTTTTAACAACCACGCTGACTAAGAGAAGCTAAAATACAAAACTTAGAATAATATTGCAAAATGCAGAGCCATTTTTAAAGCAAGAACAGAAAACCAGACAATCTTTTAATTTATTTTTTTTAAATAACTATTGTAATTAACATAAAGATTAATTTAAAAAAAAATTAAAGTTAAAAAAGTAAAAGTAATTAAGTTTATTTAATTAAATTAAAAAATTTTTTTAAAGTAAAATTTTTTTAAAAAAATTAATTAAAAAGTTTATAACATCTCATAACCGCAACAACCGCTTATTTTAATTTATATATAGCAAATTTAGTAGGTGGTTCAAAAATGCACTCTTTCAAATTTAAATTTAAATAGTCAATTGTGAAGAAAAGTGTCTTAATGTTATCTTATCATACAGATGAAATAAAATCAAGTTCTTCTTTTTTTTTTCAGTAAATTTTTGTTACTTTTTTACTTTAAATTTTCAAAAGTTTAAAGTAAAAAAGTTAACAAAAGTTCAAATTATAATATTTAAACAACCAGATTTCAATCACGTATTTAAAGGCCCGTAGCAAGCTTTTTATTTTTGTTTTAGAATTTAACTTTATGTAACAACATAAAGCAAACTCCAAACATTTATATATTCATGTTTATGCAAAGCTTTTCAAAATTATTTTGATAATCAGAGTCTGTTAACAATATACCCCTAAAATGTTAACTTCCCTTTTATGCCATCAGTGTGAGAGCGATGAGTTTTTAACATTTAAATTTACATTTTTTTTAAATATTTTAAACTAAGTTTTAGTTCATTAACAAGTCTCTAATGTTATGCAATAATCTCTTAGTGTTCAAATACTATGACCATATAAATTTTGAGCAACCTCTCCAATCATTTAGGGGATTTGAAACATTATTTTTAATTAAGTTATAAGTTTGTCTGACAATCAAATTCTGTTCCTTATTCAAAAGTTCGATGCGAAAGTTAATTTCTTTAATCTTTTTTCGTGAATAAGTAATCAAATGACTTTAAAATTAAAATTAAATCGACAAATTAAAATTTGTCAAAGATGAAGAAAAATAAGTTTTTTTAAGTGACATTAGTATACAAGATCATTTTTATTTTCCAAAAAATTGTTCAAATTATTCTTATTTTTATTATTATTAATTTGATAATTATCAAATTAGTTTATTTTTTTTCAAATTTAATTTTGTCATTGATTTTTTTTTTTTTTTTTAATTACATAAAGACATTCTTTAATGTAGTGAAGGATTCTTATTTTCCTAAATTTGCCGTTGCAAATTATTTACTTTTCTTTATAAAATATACAAATGGCAGGAACAAGAAGAAAACAAAAATAGTCTTATTGCCAAGCCGCTAAATATCCTTGCATAGAAAAGTCATTAAAAACTTGTCATTAAAAATTATTGAGTAATTAAAAACATGCCATTAAACTAGTAAAACTCAAACTTCTGAAAAACACATCATGTGTTTTTCTAAAGTTTGAGTTTAAAAAGTTTATTTTAGTTGACAGTTATAGTTTTTTTTTTTTTGGGTATATATCTAAATAATTATTATATATGTAGCTGAAATACCTAATTTTCTTAAATTCAGCTTGGTTTTACCTAATTTTGCACTGCCTTTTTTTTTTTAAAATAAGCATTTATTTGTATAACTTTATGTTTTTGTAAAATTTGCTTTAAATATACTGGGATTATTTTACTTAACAGAGCCGGGTTATGTGCTCTCCTATTCAGGGTCCAGGTGCTTTTAAATATTCTTGAATTTTTATTTTTTGGATGATTTTAATTATGGTTGAACAACTTTAGGGTATAATTAAATTTCTTATTTTGGGTTATATGTTTTTAATTTTGAGTTATTTTAATTACTTTCAAATATTTTTTAATAAAAAGTAGCTTATTTAAAATAAATATTTTTCATAATAATTTATTTGGGTAGAGTAATCCATTATACTTGGAATCACACATCAGTTCAAATAATCCTGGTCGCATTGAATTAGCTTTGCATTATTTGTCAAAACAAGAAAAATTAGTTGTTGGAATCATTCGGTGCGCTGGACTCAAAGCTCATGACTCAAATGGTTATTCTGACCCTTTTGTAAAATGGTAACACTTTCTATTTTTTATTTTAAAGAAAATCATGTCTTTTTATTTACTTTGATAAAATAAATTGATTTGGTATATCTGGTAATTTTTGTATTGGTATAAATTAAAGTCAATTAGTTAATAAGTTGTAAAATTTACAAGTTATTAAGTTGTAAAATTAACTATTTAGTTTACATTATTTTATTATAAACTATTCTGTTTAATATTTAATTAGTTATATTTATCAAAATGGACATTATATTAAATTATATTATTTATTAGTTATTAATTATATTATTTATTAAAAGTTAATTATATTATTTATTAAAAATCAATTATGTTATTTATTAAAAATATTATTTTACTTATTGTCATTTAGTTATCTTCTTCCTGACCCTCAAAAGCATACTAAACAAAAAACAGCAATAAAAAAGAAGACACTGAATCCTGAGTTCAACGAGGTATTTCTTAATTCAATTTCTTCTTAACTTTTATTTGAAGTTTTTTAAATATTTTTCACAGTAATTAAGTTACAGGATAAAACTAGTTTAAAATTTCTAAACCAAAGTGGTATACATTCTTTTTTTAAATTACTATTATTGTGTAATAATAATTAAAAATGGCAAGAAAACATAATAAATACAATATAAATAATTATGTGAAATAAATGAAAATAAATGAAAATGAAAAAGTGAAAGGAAACTTTCTGTCTGGTATGAAGTTTATTGGTCGCTGCAACCCCATCATTGCATTCCACTTGGAAAATGTAAGACTCCATCAACAAGAGAGTCCAGAATGAGTGCTCTTCTCTCCTTTATCTCAAGATGAAATCATCAGAGAATATGGTGGTGTCATCCAAAGAGCAGTCGATGGTACCACCAATATCTCACACTGAGCAGATAACCTTTGTTATTTGTTTTCTCCTCTATGAAAGAGAAACTTTGTTGCTGGCAAATCCAAGATCAATTCTTGTGGAGTTGATATAGCTAAGCTTATCACTGATTTTATCTTAGGTCTAGGTATGGATATTCGAAACTGTCCTGGTCAAGGAGTTGATATATCTAAACTTGTCATTGATTTTATTTTAAGTCTAGGTATGGATATTCGAAACTGTTGTGGTCAAGGAGTTGATATAGCTAAACATATCACTGATTTTACTTTAAGCCTAGGTATGGATATTTGAAATGCGGTTAGGGACACGATAATGGATCCAATATTTCAGGTGCTTACAAGGGTGCTTAAGCTTTAATAAAGCAAAATTATTTTGATGCTCTGTGCGTTCCCTGTAGCGCTCACAGTCTGAATTTGGCTGGTGTGCTCGCAGTTGAATTAGCCATTAAGATTAAAGTATTCTTTGAAAATATCAAATCTTGGTACTTATTTTTTAGTGCAAGTCTTACCTAATGGAACATCCTCACTAAAGCGACAGGAATTTCACTGCATAGGGTTTCTATAACAAGATAGAACTCTCGTACCCACTTGAACAAACCACATGACAAACGGCTGAGAGACTTATTGGCAGCTCTTAAACATGCCATAGAAAACCTGGATCTGACTAGTGAGCATTTCAGCTAAGCAAGAGAATTATAAAAATGATTATCATCTTTTAAATTATTGCTAGTTACAATATTAATACAAAATCCTTACTGCTGGTAATGACGTTAGTAATCTTCTACAATCTGAAGCCATTACTATTGATGACGAGCCACGTTTGATTGGATTGCTAGGTTTGATTGGATAGCTGGAAGATTTTAAACAGATTAGGGGCTCTTTGTTCCGTTTGGAATCGAAACTGAACTCGCTACTAAAAGAAAGCGTAAATTAAAGTGCTTTCACAATGAGGCATCGAACATAGCCATTTCTACAACATTTCTACAACAGCCAAACAAATGAATGTTTTTAATGTTAGTTTAGATTTTTTAATGTTGATTCAAAATTTGAGACAAGCAGGATGTTAGGCAATATGTTTTCATTCGTCTGGTTGGATAATTATGATTTTTCCGCTTAAAAAATAAGGTTTGAGAACTAACAGAATTTAATTCGAGAGATGTGAACAAATAGAATCTTATTAAAGAAGTTTGCCGTTTTAACAATGCCCGCAAAATAATATTCAAGCAAGGAAATCCAATGCAGCTACTCAATCCAATCTTTGAGAAGAAGCTTGAACTCCTTTTTCCATTTATTTGCATCATGCCCCGGATTTTGAACACTATTCTTAAGTCAGTTGCTGAAGATCAATTATTATTTTGTAAACTAAAAATTGTAAAAAACTCTCTCCGTTCGACCATGAGCCAGGATCGCGTTACTGATATTTGATTATTTTGATTGAAAAAGATTTGGCTAAAAAGGTGAGCTATGTCAATGTCATCGATATTTGAAGAGCTCAAAAAACATTAATTTATTAACCTTTCTCAAAGATTTTTTTAATCGATTTTTTGTTTATTTGTTTTAAAACTAATTTTGTAATTCAGTTTATGTCAGATTTATACAGTTTATACAGTAATGTTAATTTTGTTTAATGAACAGTTTCTCAATCCAGAGAATTAATAGTAACGCAGAAATATAATATTCTTTATCAGAAATAAATAATTATTGCGTTTGTAAAACTTTGAATTTTGGGATTTTTTAGTTTGAAATATGTTCGCTGTTCTCCATTTTTGAGCCGGGCGCAATTGGTGCTCTCAAAGGCTGTGATATTTTCTTGTCAAGCTCAAAGGTTAATGGCTCTATTTTTCTTTGATGAAGAAAATCTTCCATTAAATACTCTGGTACTTTATGACCGCAATAAGTGAAACGTTGGAATCCTTAAAATAGAGTATCAGTTATAATTTTGACACACCTAAGAGATCTTAGTTTAATAGTACCAAGTTGGTTGTTAAGTTAGAGATTAAAACTCTTGAAGTTTTATTAATTGGGTCAAGACATAACATCTTTAATGATATTAACTTCGTCAACAAAAAATATTCAATTTTTAATTTTATATGACATTTTTTTAATAATAGCCAAACACCCATTTAAATCAAAAATGGATTTTAGCAACCTCAGGTTAAAATTCCAACAAGTTGTTGTCCGGTTAAATGTAGTTCATGATTGCTTCTCCTCAATACTAATGTTCTTCAAAATACTTGTGGCCTTAGAAGAATGACTGAAGTGTTCAACTAGTTTATTTAGTTATGCTAAAATTTCTAACCACTGTAGAATACTAGCAAAAACGTGTGACAAATAAATATATCTGGTGATCACCACACCAAAGTTTGTTGCCAAGTAAATGTTTTCTTTACCAAGATTGACCTTGATAAAGTGTTGCACCTTATCAATGTCAATCTTCTCATCGTCAATAGTTTTGTTTATATGGTATCTTATGAACTTATATAGTTTAGGAATTAGGTTCTGAGAAAGTGATATTGGTGAAACAGGTTTATAATTCCTTTTTTTTACTTGCGTTAATGTTTCTTAAAATATTCACAACCCATATGGATATCACTGCTTAGTCACTGATGTAACTATCTTTACATTATCAAAATGGTATTTAAGCCATTGACTAGCAACACAAATAGCTTTAGAAGTTTTAGCGGTTTTCAATTTATCAGATGATGTCAGAGGTTTAAGTGTGTGACCAAAGATTGGTAACAGCACGAGTTCGGTGTTTGATAAGCGAATATTCGTTCCTCTCTAATAAATTTAGACACTTTTAAATATAAAAAACTGATTGCATATAGTATTTTACTTTTGTTATATTTATTTATTTGTGTATTATTTAGGAGTTTACTTACAAAATTGCTCATCATGAGTTAGCAAAAAGAACACTACATATAACGGTGTGGGATCATGACGTCGGTAGAACAAACGACTTCATAGGTTTCTAACATTTTAAATTTTATCGACAAAGAGTTATATGTTAAAAATTTATTTTCTCTTTTTTTTTTTATTGTATGTTATAATTATATGATACAAACGATTAAGGTCAGCTTGGTTACAACATTTTTTATTTACACAAAAATTTGTTATTAGGGGGAATCACTCTTGGAATACAATCAACACCAGAAGCATTAAAACATTGGTTTGAAACTTTGAAAACGGCTGATAAAAAAGTTATTAAATGGCATACTTTAAGTGAAGACTGCCCAGCAATAGACTAAATTGTATATACAAAGATAAATTACCTGTATTTTTTATGATATCAGTCGTATGATACTCATTTTGAATAATATTCATCATTTTTTTATTAAACCGTTTGGATGATAATTGGAGGACAAAAATTCGTAGAAGTATTTCTCAATGGTTTTGGTTTACGCATTTTAAATCATTTACAGAATCATTTTGTATTCGTTTTTAGTAAAGTAATAAACAGCCTGGTTGGTCCGATTATTGTTGGTCCGATTGTCGTTGGTCCGATTGTCGTTGTCCGATTTAATCCGATTCTGTAGAACTAATTATAGTGACTTTTAGCTTTGTTTTTATAGTTAAGGTGAATTAATCGAAGAAGTTTACTTTTAAAACATCACTGTGTATAGATATCATTGACATCAGGGTATATAAACACCATAGACACGAGGGTCAACAAAAAAGTCTCAAAATGATGTAGCTTACGTCAAGGTATCAAATTATGCTGTGTAAAAATTACGCCTTTTCAATGAAAATTTATTTTTTGATTTATATTTTATAAATGTTATTATTTTTAATAAATATATTTTTGAAATTA